AGCTCTGGGCTGCTGGTCGTCCTTTATTTAGTGGTTTGCATAGCTCTGGGCTGCTGGTCGTCCTTTATTTAGTGGTTTGCATAGCTCTGGGCTGCTGGTCGTCCTTTATTTAGTATTTTGCATAGCTCTGGGCTGCTGGTCTTCCTTTATTTAGTATTTTGCATAGCTCTGGGCTGCTGGTCTTCCTTTATTTAGTATTTTGCATAGCTCTGGGCTGCTTGTCATCCTTTATTTAGTGGTTTGCATAGATCTGGGCTGTTGGTCTTCCTTTATTTAGTGGTTTGCATAGATCTGGGCTGTTGGTCTTCCTTTATTTAGTGGTTTGCATAGATCTGGGATGCTGATCTTCTTTTATTTAGTGGTTTTGTTTATGTTTCTCACACATAAGAACTGAAACTTTTTTGTGACACACAGATCCTCAGCAGTGTGTTATTTCTACTGAATTATTATCTATATTTTATCCTTCATAACACTTGTGTAATTACTTGATATATCATTTATGACTTAGGTATGAACTATCTCAAGATCTGCTGGACAAACAGGTGGAGATGCTTGAGAGAAAGTACGGTGGAGTCTGTGCACGTCAGGCAGCTTTAACTATACAAAGAGCTTTTCGAAAACACTGCATGGTGAAGCGATTTCAAGAGCTAGCCCACCCTAACAAAAGTGAAAAGCGTTTGTCGAGACGGTTTCCCACTTATGATCTCGAAGGGAAAGACTGGATGGTGTATGCAGGATCAGTAACATCTGGTAATCACATGCCATACACAACAGGAGTCATCTATAATCCAGGCCAAGAGATGTTGAAGGAAGGTTTTCAAGGCAGTTATTCCACACCACAGAATGTGGATGAAGATGTCAAATCAAATTTTGCTGCTCTCTTTCGTGAGCTGAGTGAAACTTTAGAAACTGAAAATGGTAGGCCTTTAAAACCAGTGAGGTCAATGAGCATGAGAGAGAAAAAGACATGTTACCCAACTGACTCGGATCACTATAGTGAGCCATCAGCCAACTGTGTATACACTAAAGGAAACACTTCCTCCTATTCAAGTGGTCAAGTAATAACTGTTCAACGAAACAAAGATGTGCATGTAGTGCCATCTGGTGGCAGGTTATGGACTCACAGTTCTGTAGAATCTGGTCTTCCAGAAAGAGACAGTACAGTAAATGACAATGTCTACTACACAACTTATACAGGTGGTGTGAGATCTCCTTCTTCTATTCCTAGACATTCAACAAGTAATGGTGTAAAACATATCAGTTCCTCCCATAGTGCTCATCTTGGACCCACAGTGTACCTTGTTCCTAGTCAAGTACCACCACCAACTGAAGAACACTATTGTCCTCCTGGAGAGTCACTTTCTTCAGAGGATAGTGGACTTGGTTCTGTAAGTTGCTGATGATTTATTATCTTAAATCATCTTGTGTTTTTTATTATAATTTTCTATTTTGTAAATTATTGTGGCTACATTGAACAATGTGGGAAAGGTCTATTGTAATTATCAGTTTATTCAACTGTATCTTATTATGAACAACTATATGAGTAGACATTTTTATCACCAGCAGTTAAAAGTTATTTTATAGATATATTTGTCATGTAAAATAGCAAAAAATTACAAAATGTGCAACCATTAATCAGGTAAAATATTAAGCTTGTTTTAACTTACAAATGAGACAAATAAATTTCTTCTGAAATAAAAACATTTCTGTTATTGCCTTGAAGGACAATAAAGCCATATTTGTTCCATAGACCAACTGGCAAATTGAAATGTGTATGTTCTACAAGAATTGCTGCGCAAATTCTGGGGAAACACTATTCAGTTAACTTGTGAGCTTTGATATAATATCATCAGTCAATTATAAGTTAGCCTTCTTGTGGTCTACTGATATTTATGTTCTGTATCTTTGATCACTTAGCAGCAAAGCTGTCGTAACAGGTATAATGAAATGAAGCTGCCTACTAGATCACACTAAAATTCAACCTCGTAATGAACATAGCTAATTTAATATGTTGTTCCTACATTATTATTTATAATCTTTAGAAGTTATTATTTTGTCATTTGAGTACCCTCATTTAGTGAAATTTTGTGGCATAATCCCAATAATTTCTCACAAATTAGGATATTTAAATTTGTCTTAAATCCATATACTAAGTTAACAGTGCAAAATAATACTTACCATATTGGCCCAAAAATAAGGCAATATTTTCTATTAATAATTAGGCTGTAAAATTTGTAGTCACCTTATAATCATGGCTGACCACAGACCCCCTCCCCGTACTCTAGCCTGTCGCATTCCTGAATGTCCAGATAGCATCCTTCTACACATGTGCACCAGATATTCACTCAAGGTCATCACTAATTCTTGCAACTAATCTACCTGCAGGCTGTTCAGTTATAGTATTGATTTTGCAGACCTAAAAAAAGGGTGTTATGACACTCAATCTTATTCCTTTCCCATGGTTTCTGAAATTGGGGAGGTCGCCTTATATTCGAAATTGCCCTATAATCGGGTCAGTACAGTATAATGAAAAATATAATAAACATAGATATAGCTTTAACAAATACTGTTAAAGTATTATTAAAGAAAGATTAAAGCATACCTTACTTATTTACAGAATTAGCTTATTAATGCATGCAATGTGTTCAAGTGAACTTCATTAATTCATTGTCATTTGTTTTGTTTTTCAATATATTCTGCAGTGTTATTTTCTTTAGGAGACTTCTTGATTTCTTAAGTTTTGAATTCACATAATGCATATCTGTAATATGAGTTTTAAATAATATTGTTTAAAGATTTGTAAAAGTTTTGGTTATCACTCACTTTTGTGCTTATTTTATATTTTTAACAAGGCAGTTATGTATTCAATTTGCAATTTCTTGTGACAAAATAACATACTCGTTTATTCAAAGTTAATTGTGAAAAAAGTTTTCTTAGACTTCATTTTCTATTTTCATAGCAAATTTTGAAAATAATTTTCTTCTTTTAGAGTGGATTGTGTAAAGGATCAGTACCTGTTACGGACAATTTTCTTGGAAACCGAGAATCTCCTACAAGAAGATCAGTCAATGTTACAGTGGGTATGACAAAACGATCTCAGGAAGGGATGCTTCAAAGAACTCCTATAAGGTCAAGCGATATTGCAATTGGAAGGAAATGTAGTGTTGAGCAGAAAAAAATTCCACCTCAGGTGCCTAAACGAACTTCTTCTATTCCAAATCGAGAGCTTAAAAGTCGAGCTGATGGAATTCATTCTCCTACTCACTCAGTCCAGTCTTCTACCTCAAGCTCTGGAACCAGTGAAGGCAGCATAGGATGTGATGTGACTCAGCAGTACATACAAAACAGTCCACTTCCAGAAAATGGTGAAAAGGGGAAAATCCAAAGTAGAATTTGTGGTATGGAAGCATCTCCTATTTGGAAGAGAAAATCTCTAGTCATGGCTGAACAAGCACCAACTGGTGCTCGATTAGAAGACAAACGATTAAGTAATATATCAGAAAATAGTGAAGATAGCTTAGAGAGTACTGGCTACTCTACATCACCTCCAATATCAACGTCGGATATGTTACAGTCATTCACAGGGGTAACTTACTCAGATTCTGTTAACAGGACACCTCGTGACTTTCCCTCAAGTCCTCTTCTATACAAAGTAGGTTGTAATTTTAATTTCAAAGTCTTATTAAACATTTTGAAAATGAACCAGACATACAATTATATTGTATTCATAAACTTTTAAAACAAAAGTTTTGGTGTTTGTACTTTCTGCAGTGAGAGATATTTTTGGTGTAAGACCTCTGCTTTATTTGAATTGAATGAATTGTAACGAGTTTCATTATTTTGTAGAACCTGCTTTTGGTTTCCATTATATAATGTCATGGGAAGATAATGGTCTTACATTGTATTATTTATTATATTTATTTACTTAATTGTTAAAAACTGTTATTAAATATAATTTTTTTTGTTTTATGTTAGTTAACACACTGAAAACCTTTTGTTTCTCTCTTATTAAGTCACAAATTTCTGAAGTTCAAAGGAAGCGACAGTATAGAGTGGGTTTAAACCTTTTCAACAAGAAGCCTGAAAAGGGAATCCGCTACCTTATTCATCGTAGTTTCTTGGAGGCTAGTCCTAAAGCAGTAGCACGGTTTTTAATTTCTCGGAAAGGTCTCAGTAAACAAAATATAGGAGAATACCTTGGCAATCTGCAATGTCCATTCAACATGGCTGTTTTAGGGTAAGATGTTTTTTAATAATTGTCGCACTCATATTCAGTCAACCATTTGTGATTTGATTTTAAAAATCTATTTTTGCTTTTTATGGAATTTTATTAGTTTTGACTGAAGTTAGTTTGTTTTTTACATATACTTCAATACACGTGCTATTCTTCTCTCTTGACCTAAAACTGAACTTTGAGATGACTGTTGTATTAATAAGCACAAAAATTACATCTATCTAGTGACTTTCATGTTGTTTAATACGTTAACTTTATGTCAATAAATGGAGCATGATCTGAAGAAAATTTCAGTTGTTACTGATCTATCAATAGGTGTTTTGTGGAGGAGATGGACTTGGCTGGAATGCAGGTTGATGTTGCACTCCGCAGGTTTCAGACATTTTTTCGCATGCCTGTAAGTAAACATTTTTTTTATCTCTTGATTTCATGTGTGGCAATTGCACGTTAGGATTTGATTATTTTTACTTGTACTTATAAAGCCGCCTAAATCGCTATACAGTGGGTCCATATTATACGTCGTCGCAATATACGTTGTTTAGCACTTACATTGCTGACTTTTTGAGGAACACAACTTAAAATTTCCATTCACATAAGTCATTCACAGTTTTTGACTTGGTCCAGCATAACTCTCTCAACACAGTCTCAGTCAATTTGACCAACCACATGACCTCTTTGTACTCAGTTAAAGTCTTTATAGATTTAATACTTCTAACTTTCAATATAGTGTGTATAACTTCACAAAATTTGGCAGTCTTTCAATTAATATTATAAATCTTTCATATAAAAACAAAATCATATTTTTTTTTTATTGTCGATGAAACTTAACTGTACTTTTTTTATACTAATGGTAATAATGCACTAAATAATTTTTATTTA